AGCAGACTTATGCAGATTTTGCAAATAGAACATTCCACTTGTCTAAACTGCAAGCTTCTTGCCGACTAGAGCCATTGTGTATTCATCTAGCTATTCACGGTGCTTTGTCCATAGTGAACCTCAATAATCATTGAATTAAACCATAACTGTATGACCAAGACCTACTTCTAAAATTACTTATAGGACATAATATTTAAAATTTTTAACTTCATATCACACAAATTGCTACTTAAAAGTAACTATTAAATCTTTAATATGAACAGAAGTTTGCCTATAAATGATATGTAATTCAGAACATTAAAGTCTGTTGAGAATTTGGAGCTAATTATTGTCTCACTCTGAAATTGCATAAAATTAAGAAATTATCAAACGAAAATATTCATTGTGTGTTTTATAAAACTCCCAGATCTGAGTTTGGCAAAATGATTCCTAAAATAAAAAGTCAAAATATCCAAATGGGTCAACTATATATAGGCATTGTGTTTTCAAAGTTTTGTGATATTTGCCCTTTTATTTGAATCATATATATCTTGAAATATGGGATTATTTCATAAATATATTCAGTCTACTTATTTTGAATATGTCACACTTTGTATAAGATTTGATGAGCATGACACTGTTCTGTATATAAGTGCTAATAATAGTCCTCATCGGGAGCCCTGGTGGCATAGTGGTTGTGAGCGGGTCTGCGATCTGTAAAATCGACCAGCTGCAACCACCGCTGCTCAGCTGAAAGACGGGGCTTTACAGTCCCGCTCAGCCCTGTCCCATTGACTCACTAGGAGTTGGCATAGAGTCAGGGCAAAGAGTTGAATTTTGAGGGGGGTGTGGTGTGAGGGCAAGAAGGGGGAGCACGGGAGAGGGAGGGTTTAACCAGTCACAGTCTTAGAAACTCACAGTGGCAGTTCTACCTTGTCTTATAGGGTCATTATGAGTCGCGTCATCTCCTTGGCAGTGACTTTGGACGTTTAAAACTATTCCTTACATTACTTGTGTGTCGTTACATTACTTTATGTGAATCCTAACATAATGGTGGGTTGGACATCTGCACAGTTTATGTTTTTATAAAATGACTTTCCTCAGGAAGTTTTATGATAAAAACTAAAAACTTGTCTCTGTATCTTAAATACAGCTCACTCCATTTCACTTGGGCCCCTCTTAAAGTCTTAATTACTTTTGAGGATGTTTCTTTGCGATGGAAATAGAAATAATGAAATTAATTAAAAGCAAATGAAAAAATGAAAGATTAATTGGTATATAAAATTCTTATTTGCATTAAAATTATTCTTGCATAGATCATGGGGTCTCTTTGTATCTTGATTCATTTTTATATTAAAGGAGAATATTTTATGGCAGAAAAATCTGCCATCTAATATTTTATATTAAAGGAGAAGATTTAGGACTGAATTATTACTTTCTTTCCATGCACTAAAATTTTACCTTATTGAACCTTGTGCTTTTTCCCTCAATGAAAATGAATCTGCTAAATTCTTGTACAGTACTGTGTTCTATAGCTTGAACTCATGACACATTACTATTCTATGGACCATATAAATTATGAAACATGTGACATGTCATTCTTTAAGGGGACTGTACAAGCTCAATCATGTCGTTGCTGTTAGGTGTCATTGGGTTGTTACCATTTACAGCAACCCCACGTCCAACAGAACGAAACACTGCCTGTTCCTGGGTTAGCCCCACCAGTGCTGCTCTGTGTGAGCTGATGGCTGCAGCCACTGTGTCAATGTGTGTCATCGAAGGACTTTCTTGTTGGCCCTTTATTACAGGTGAGGTTGTTCTTCAGGGACTGGTTTCTACTGATAAAATGTGAAAAGTATGTAATACAAAGTGCTTCCGTTCTCTCTTCTAAGGAACAGTCTGGCAAAAATTCTCCCAAGAAAAATTTGCTTTTTCTTCTTGAAGTCTATGAATGGATTAATATTTGTCACCAATACTACATTACGATGCATCACTTGTTCTTGCCTTCCCTATTAATTGTCTGGTGTTTGTCGTCAAGGTGATATCTTAACTGTTTTGTTTTTCTTAAGCACTTTATAGAGATCTTTTGAAGCAGTTTCGCCACATTGCAATACATTATTTAAATCCTTGACGGCTGCTCCCCGGGGAATATCAGAACACATCCTTGGGCTCATCTAAAACCTGTATATGCACCCCGAGGCAGCCAAAGGGATACTGAATGGTTTAAAATCCGGAAAGGCATGTGTCAGGACAGTATCTTTTCATCATATTTATTCAATATGTATACTGAGCAAATCATCTAAGAAAGTGGACTATTTAAAGAAGATGAGATTCGGATTGGGGGAAACCTCATCAATAAACTGCAATACACAGATGACACAGCCACCCTTGCTGAAAGTGGGGAGTTGCTGATGACAAGCACGAGCTGTAGCATTAAATATCAATTGCCATGCAGTATAAAGAAAACTGGGCCAATAAACCCATCATGATGAGTGGAGAAATGATTGAAGTTGTCAAGGGCTTGCATTGGGCAAATCTGCTGCACAAGACTTCTTTACCGTGTTGAAAATCACGGATGTCAGATTGAGAATAAGAGCTGCTTATCCAAGCCAAGAAAACTCCCAAAGCCTCATATGTATGTGAAAGTTGGACAACGAGGAGGAAAGACCAGAAAGGAATCGATACTTTAAATTATGGTGTTGGTGAAGAATATTAAATATACCATAGACTGTAGGAGGGAGAGCGAGAATGGCCCTTGGAAAGAGAAGGGTGAGCCTTTGTCGCATGTGCATGAACATGTGGTCATGAAAGAGGAGACCCAGGAAAAAGCCATAATGCTTGGTAAAGTGGACTGTCAGCCCCAAAGAGGAAACCTTTCTTGAGATGAATTGTCAGAGTAATTACAACAATGGGCCGGCAACCATCCAAACAGATGACTTTGGAAAATGTTTCCAAGAATGAAATCGCAGATTTGACCAATGTAGTAAGTGTAATGGAGAGTACTTTGAAGGTGATGAGGTTGTTTTGTGAAAAGAAAATTAAATACAGAACTTTGGGGGGAAAACCCGTTTTGTGGGGCAGGGACCCACATGTATTTGCAACCATAAATGGAAACAGTGATTTTTTTTTTTAAGGCAGAGTGTCTCAATTTGATAAGTCACTTGGAAATGTCTTTTCTCTTATAAATATATTATTTATAAAGGAACAATTTCCAATAATTATATTTCTCAGCAAGCTGGGGATTGGGAAGGTTTTTTTTCATAGAAACAAGAAATTAGAACATATTTAATGCTCCAGGTCTTTCTGATGCTCCAATTACTTCAAGTATTTTAATTTTGCTGAACAAAATACCAGTAGAATTGCTATTTCAGAGAATTACAGAAAAATCTTTGAAAGCAATAGTAATGTGCTTGTTAAGAAATAAATACCCAAAGTCCTCTGGTGTGTTGCTACTCCGATTCCACATAAATTCTGCCTAATGATCATATATTTATTTTCCCTGCTTCAGTGTTTATTCTCTGTTTTATGTGAGACCTCAATTCCATACATTGACTGGTTTATGTAAATATTCTTGCATTGGAGAAAACATTTTCCCAGAAGCAAATGATAGACAACTTTATTTTTCCCCTATAAAAATAAGAATACCTTATTCTGAAATTGGGATGGATTAACCAGGGAATAGTAATTCTCCATCTCACAAAAAAATTCTTAAGTATAAGAATACAGAATCTTGGCATCACATTGTTTCTCCTTAACCCTTAGCTATCACCCCTGTTTATCATTTTACTTTTAGCCCTGTTCTCAATTATAGAGTTTATATCCTTGAGGACATTGAGATACTTCAGAGTTTCTTGAAGAAAAAAAATAGTATTCTGTTTTGAGTTATGCAAAGCAATCAATGTGTTTCCATGTTTGGAGCATAAAATTCATAATACTAAAATTCATTGGGAAATACTGAAGTATGTTGGCTCATCACAGGCAACAACAATAACAGGGAAAAAAAAGAAAGAAAAGAAAATTAGATTAGTGTCCTAAGCACACTCTGTCTCTAAACCACAATAAGAGAGTATAATGATTTAAATTAAACCCACATTTTGCTTCCTATTTTAAAACAGAAAAAAATATTAATCTCAACATTATTAAAATAGTCTTGGCACATTACTCAATCTAGTGGTGTTGATTTAAAACTTTTTATTTACTGAAACCTTTACATGCAACTAAAATTCCAATTAGATTAGATATGGTATAGTTGGTATTAACAATTAATACTCTTAGAAAATTAGGTTTGGGAGAAGATATTCAATTATGAAATAGTTCTGAGTTTGGAAGATAATTTGTAGAAGTCCTGTTACTTCAGATGTAAAAATTTATAAATTTATCACAAATACATCTTGTGATGGGCCATTGTGTCTTCTTGGGCTTTTTACTCTTAGGTGACTACTCTAAAACAAAAATGTGTTTGGGCTAAGAGAAAAATACAAAGTTCGTTTCGAATTTAAACAACAGAATGTTCAATAGGTTACACACAGACATGTGTAAGACAACGTCCGTTGTCATTCTTCCTACCCATGATTGGGCTTAGAGAATTTGGGGTTGGATCCCTGGAGAAAAATCAAACCCAGATATTTCTTCCATAATTAACTTTACCTCATTGATATGTCTGAAGTGTAAGCTTTGCCCAAGGCTGGCCTTCAGTGAATGCACTCTACTGCGAACTTCTAAAGACATTTATTATCAGACCAGTTAAACCAGGTTCAAAGTTAGTCCCCTAAGACCAACCTAGTCTAGATTCATTTTACTCCAGGGAGGTCCAAGCACTCTGACAGGTAGGAATGCACTAAAGTTGCCCTAAAATATCTGTTCTGGCAATTATCCTTGTGCATGTTTTTTAAAAGAAAATGACATTGCCCATTTGTAGTTAAACCTGCCATTCCTTATTTACAAGCAGAGACTAGTCTCTACGGGGCATGTGCAAGGAGTATGGAAAGATGAAGAAATAACATTACACTTGTGAATAAAAGTATTTTAAATAAATATTTTAATTCTATTGTTGGCATTTACAAGTAGAAAGCATACAATATGTTACAAATATCAAAATGTGAAAAATATGAATGTTACATAAGTAACAAATGTAAAAACCGTATTTTCTTACCTTCCCTGAAAGTAAGAAAACTATTCAGCATAGGAAAATATCAGTATCAAAAACACAGATTAGGTTTAAAAAAAAAATGTTTTTACACAGTATTAAAAAAAATCTACAAAAAGACAGGAAGTAGTGAAGTGTTGAAATTTGAATCCGTATAAATTATATAAATTGGGTACTTAGTATAAATGTTAAGTGTTTGAAAAACAAGTCCAATGACAGGCTTTCTTTAAGTCAGTTCTTCAAATTTTAAAAGCATAGAAAACTTTTTTGCTCAATAAATAACTTGTAAACGTGTCTCTTAGAAGTGCTGCTGACAATATCGTCCCACAGTTGGGAAGGTGGCAGTATTCCGGGGGCAACATCCAGCCATTTGGTTCCTAATGGAAAGCCTGATGAAAGTATGCAGACCAGAACCATTTACAAAGAGATTCATAAGTTTCAACACAATATCATAAGAAAATCCTAAAGTGCTGAACAAAATGACTTAATTTTAGTACCCACTGTCATGTTCAACTTATTCAAATATTCAAACATTTCCGAGCAACATCAAATATGGAAACTCTAATTCTGAAACACGTTAATACTGCTTAGTCTTTCACTCACAGATAGGCAGGCTCTTTTCTATCATTACTTCATACTTTACAAAGATTGGTTAAACCTCAGGAAGGCGGCAATGCAAACTATCGGAATAGCAATGATACAATGGAACCGATATGCACACTCCACTGTGAAAACACAAGTTCATTTCTGCAATGGTAACAATATTAATTTCTTAAGTCACAAATCAAACATTGGTAAATAAGAAAAATCCTTCAAATGTTGCATGCCACGTAGTTAACTACAAAATACAAAGCGTGCAGGAAAATCATGTGATCCAAGCATGTTTAAATTAAGAGTCCTCCCGAGTCTGTTTCAGCAGCATTGTGGTTATTATTGTTAAAGGTTGTGCTCAACCACCAGTCCATACTGGCCTCTTTATCCAGCCTACCCCAATCTTAATGGCAACGTTAGAAGGGTTGGAGTGTTTCTTGGCTTACGATTTTGATAATGCCAGTACACAAAGTTCACACATATTCTTCTGCTTCCCCATCTTTGGGGACTGGCTTAGTTGTCCCGCTTTTGCCTTCTTCGTTTGCTGCTGCTTTTTCTGGGAGGGATGCCAAATCTTTAAAAACATCCACGTAGTGGCCAAAGCCAGGGCCCCAGTTCAAAAGGTTGTCCCAGTTGAAATTCCCCGCTTGCTGCCCAAGTTTCGAGGGCAGCGCGTTGTCAGACACCCCGGGCGCTGCGGCCTGTGTGCCCACCGGTCCTCCCTCAGCCCTGCGGCCATGGTACCTTCTGGGCTTCAGTCTGGTCCCATAATTATCCTCGTCATCTGCATCAGACTCATTGACTTGAGATAATTTGGGCATCCTGGAAGTATATACCATTGGCTTTTCCCTGTCGTATTCCATTTCTGAGCAAGTAAAGGACTCATGGGAGTCACTATCAGAAGAAGATTCTGGCGCTGGAATGCCGTCTGCGGGGTTCCTTGTCCTGGACAGTGGCCGGCGGCAGTCCTCCTCCGACGAAGATCTCCCGTGGTCTGCACTGCAGATACTCGGGTTCCTAGGGCGAGGGGTGTTCAGCCTCTCTACCTCTTCAATGGAGAGTCCTACCGGGGGAGAAGATTCCAGCGGCATCTGCCCAATGGGCTGCTTTAAGCGGCTTCCTGGTCTAGAACCATGAGCTGCCATGGCCTGCGGACTCTTGCTTCTCCTTCCCAGCCGTGTGGCATAGTTGAAAAGCCCAGGCTGGCAGGCATCACCATGCATTTCCAACGCGTTCCCATCCCTTAAAGGAAGATGTAATTCCCTAGCTGGGCTATTCCGATAGAAAGTGGAGGACTTGGAAAACGGAGCCGGGCTGTGCCGAGAGAGGGGGTTGGGAGTGGGACAAGCGGAGTGGCTCAGGGAGCTGGTTCTCAGAGCTTGGCTGTAGGAAGGCTGGTAGGTCAAACTGCTTGCTCCTAAGGGCATGGGTGATTGCCTTGCAAAGCCTAGAGGACTGTGTCTCTGGATGGAAAATTTGGGGGTGTGGCTGCGGAACTGCTTGTAGTGCTGGATGATGTCGGCGTCTGAAGGGGCGATGCTGCTGGCATTGTCGATATCATAGTGCTCGATCTCTTGCTCCGGGGAAGCCAGGGGGGCACTTGGGATGGTTTCCGAGTTGGGGGGAATGTCGGTTTCATCATAGATGAGATAAGGGTTTTCCCTTTCGATGATATCGGGTTTCGGGTTCCCTTCAGGCTGCTTTCTCACGGTCATGTCATCGCCATACGGAGGAATATTATCTGGGTCATCGAAAGCAACGTTCTCGCTTCCCTTTTTCTTTTTTTCCTTCGGCTTCTTCTCCCTCTGGGGACTTTTGCTCTTCTTGCCCCTGCACTGATGACACAGAATCAGGCTGAGGACCAGCAGGGCCAGCACGGTGGCGCAGCTGCCCACAATGGCAGGCACGGCCCACAGAGGCAGGGAGATCTCTTCAGGACCCTGGCTCAGGACACAGACATGGCCCCCAGGACTTCCAGCCTTACACACCCTACCCTGAGGGCAGAGGACTCCTAGACAGGCCACGACCATGTCACAGGTCCGCCCGGTGTGGGATTCTGGACAGTTACAGGTGAAACCAGAGTGGAGGCCAGGTTCGCAGCTGCCACCGTTCTGGCACGGGTGGGAGGCGCAGTCTCCAGGAGGCACACACTTGTAGGCATACCACTGATTAATGCACAACAAATCGCCCCAGCAGGGGTTGCTGGCACAAATGTTCGGGCCACGACAGCCAATCTTGATGGAGGGGTCTGTTTTTGAGATGGAGGCCAAGCTGTGCTTCCCACTGAAAGGAAGGCTTTCTCCTCCATACAGCATAGAAGCAATGCAGCCATCGAAACCTGCAGGGAGACACAAGAGCCCATCATCGGATGAACGGATGAACTCAACAAGGGATAACAATCTAACTCAATGTTATTCGACCATAGAGAGCAAGGGCTTTCCTGTGTACACTACATCGTGGAGGAACCGTCCAAGTGCGGAGTCAGAAACAGAAGGACTGATAGGTGTGATCTCATGACCGCCCTAGAGGAGCCAAATACATGGTGACCAGAAGGGCCTCAGAGATGAACCGCTGCAGGCAGCGAAGGACAATGACTGGTCATATTTATGGGAAGAGCCGCTGAGTTTCACTTTAGGGCACTGACAACCCTGCTGATTGTATAACACTGTGAATATAATTAATGTCACTGAATTGACCACTATAAGCAAGATGTCAAAATGAATGATATGGATGTAAATACACACATCTATACCATTTTTTTAAGGCACAGGGGTAAGAGCAGTAAGGCAGTTTCAGGAACATCAACGTGTTAAAACACCGTACTCCTAGCACCTGGTGGAGAAGCTTCTCAATCATGTCATGAAAAGTTAGAATGTACAGGCTCGCGCCAGTGCAGCGCAAAGGCAAGAAATCTGTGCATCCGCTGAGTAAAATCATCATGGCAAAAGAAAGGAGAGTGGATTGCTCAGCTCCGAATCTTTTGGAAATTTTGTGATGTTTTCCACAAGGGTGACATTCTTTACCCGTTGATGTTATTTACCAAAAAAAGTATGTTATTTTTGTAGACCATACTCCAATTCATCAAACACAACAAAAAATTGAATTGATAGAAAAAATAAAGCTGAAAAAGAACAGCAAGAGCAATATAGGAGAATAGCTTTAGTCATAAAGTTTTCAACATTTTCAACCGAGGTCGTATAACTGCAAAGATGGCACTTCTGTTTTTAGAGCAAAAAAAAGAAAATGAAGCTTAGCTATGACAATGGCTCGACACAAGAGCTGTGCATTGGGACTGTGGCATTAACATTTTCTGAGGCAGAAGGGCAGGCTCCTTCTGAACCCAAACCAAACCTATTAAGCTGATTCCCACTCGTAGCAACCCTGTTACGCGGGAGAGAGCCTCATTTTTCTCCTGAAGAGCTTGTGGGTTAGATGTCTGACCCTGCTGTAAGCAGCCCTATCCCCAGCCCACAGCACCACCAGAGTTCCTGACAAAGGCTCCTTGGGTGATGATAATGGTAAGAAAGAAAACAACGCTGAGAAATAATTTGTTACTAACCACACAGTCAGCCGTTGGACTCCACCAGTACGAGAAGACCTCGGCTGCTCCTATCTCAAGGCCGAGAGTCTCTCTAAAAAACTGTTGTCCACTCATAATGTCCACGAGGACAGGGGAGAACTGCCCTGTGATTTCTAAGACTGGAACCATTTTTGAGAGTAGAAAGCCCCATCTTTCTTTAGAGGAATAGCTGGTGGTTTTGCACGGCAAATCTTGGGGATCGCAGCCCAACTCCTATCCACTAGCCACCAGGGATCCCTAAGAATCTCTGAGGGGGCTTAAAAAAGATTATGGGAAAATTGAGTTAAAAGATAATGTAATTAATTCTCCATTACTTTTTGAATCCCCTCATATTTTGAAACTAGCAAAGGGGTGTGGCTTAAAGTGCTTTGTTTTCTTTCAACATTCCCAAGCAACACAAGCCCCCAACATGCTGTGTTCTGTCATCCTGGTTTAATATTCCTCTCTTTATAATTCTCATGAATATCAAATAACCTTTCATGCCCCATTTACCTCCCTGATTTTCAGATTTAAGTTAAACTGCCAATTTCCTAGGAACGCTCCCCCTACCTTTTTAAAGCGGTGCCTTACAACTTGATAGCCTTCCCGTTAGATGTTTATCTTAGTCTATACTCATCCTATGAACCCAAATATTTTCTGAGGAACGTTTGATCACTAGCCTCCTCCCTTTCTCAACCATGTGTCAGAAGAGTAGTGGCTATTTACTGTCCATGTGAAGCTAGTAGTAACCACAGGGCTTAGTGATTATCTGTCCTGTGGATGAACAAATGGATTCGTTATTGGAATTATAAACAAACTGTTGGATGACAAGCAAGGCAGGAAAGCGCAATAGGCTGAATTATGAACTTGGTAGGAGAGTTGCAAGACACTAACAGCTGTGATGACTGGCTAACACTGTATTAAAATTTTTCTTTTTAAAAAAAAAATCATTTCACTGGCGGCTTGTACAACTCTTATCACAATCCATACATACATCCATTGTGTCAAGCACATTTGTACATGGGTTGCCATCATCATTTTCAAAACATTTTCTTTCTACTTGAGTCCTTGGTATCAGCTCCTTATTTTTCCCTCCCTCCCTCATGAATCCTTGATAATTTATGTTATTATTTTTTCATGTCTTGTACTAACAGATGTCTCCCTTCACCCACTTTTCTGCTGTCCATCCAACTGGGAGGGGGTTATATGTAGATCATTGTGATTAGTTCCCCCTTTCTCCCCACACCTTCCCCTTCCCCTCCTGATATTGCTACTCTCATTATTGACCCTGAGGGGTTTTTCTGTCCTGGATCCCTGTGTTTCCAGCTCTTATCTATACCAGTATACATGCTCTGCTCTAGCCAGATTTGTAAGGTAGAAATGGACTTAGGATAGTGGGGGGTGGGGGTGGGGGGAAGCATTAAAGAACTAGAATAAAGTTATATGTTTCATCAGTGCTCTGCTGCATCCTGACTAGCTTGTCTCTTCCTTTTGACCCTTCTGTAAGGGGATGTCCAATTGTCTACAGATGGACTTTGAGTCTCCACTCTGTACTCCCCCTCAATTCACATTGATATGATTTTTTGTTCTGGGTCTTTGATGCGTGATACCTAATCCCATCAACACTTCATGATCACACAGGCTGGTGTGCTTCTTTCCATGTGAAATTTGTTGCTTCTCAGCTAGATGACTGTTTGTTTATCTTCAAGCCTTTAGTATCCCAGATGCTATATCTTTTGATAGCTGAGCACCCTTATCTTTCTTCCCATATTTGCTTATGCACCCATTTTGTCTTCAGCGACTGTGTCAGGAAGGTGAACATCACGGAATGCCAGGTTATTAGAACAAAGTGTTCTTGCATTGAGGGAATACTTATTACAAAATTTCTACAAATAGCCATGAAGATCTTAGAATACTTATAATTGATAGTATCACAAATACAACTTTTTTTTTTCCTAAGGAAAAGTACCATTCCTTTGGGACCTTACGCAATATTAGCACTTACCTGTTTGAGAATCTCGATGAGCTTGATTGGGGGGGATGCCTCCTAGAGATATAGTTAGCACCTCAAGGCCCCCAAAGTCCTGAGTCGGGTGGATGATGTCTCTATTAAATATCCTGTCAATGGATAATACTGTGGCTGTTCCATTTTTCCCAATTAGAAAGGTATGCCAGTGGCCATCTGCAACATATACTTCAGGAATGTTTCTCTCCACTTTTCCAGCGATTCCTGCATCTGATGTGAAATGTACTTTGCCATTCTTAATCTATAAAACAGATCAAATAGCACACAAAGTATTACATATGTAATTGCAATTATTAATGGTGATGAAGTTTTAAATATTGGCCAAACGAAAGGAAGTAGATTAGCTGAGGGCTGCAGTGACATTGGAGTATTCTTAGACATTTCAGGAAACAAGTATGTGTCATTTTAGAACAGTTAGAAGAGTTGAAGGACTTCACACATTTCTACCGATAATTTCAAGATGCACAGAACCGTTACCCTCAATACTACTGAGATAATAATAGAGTGAATGCCTATTTTAAGATGCATGACTACACTTAGGCTGATTACTGATGTCTCAAATGCATTGGGGAATGTACTTTATTGGTCAGTCTCATAATTGACCCAAAGTGATCAAAACGATTAAAACCATTTGTAAAGAGAAAAATGAGTGATTCAGCTAAAAATAAAGCACAGTTGGAAAAATACAGACAAAAATAAATCATTTAACTTCTCAACTATTACACACTGGAATTTTAGGGGGAAATCATACTTCTTATTTATATTTTTGAGAGGAAAAACTATGGCAAATAAATGGCAAGCTTTTCGTAATGAGGTGTCTGGGCCAGGCTCCATTTGGGCTGTCTTTCACAATTAATCTGAATGCTCTTTGGTTTCTTCTCCTTTGCCCGGTAGAACATGGGGAACAAGACACCCCGAGTCCAGTTTCCAGCTACCACGTTTCCAGTATCCTGAGCAGACAGCTTCAGAAAACAAAATAATTTATGAGGGAAAATGAACATTTGGTTCGGAGAGCGTAATCCTGTCACTTCTGCCAGATGGAGCTGGTGCCTTGGCAAGGGTGGGACATGGCACTCTGCCTCAGAACATGGGGAAGAAGGGATGGATCCCGCTGATTTTGCCTTTCAAATTACATAGTGTTTCTCGATGCAACAAACATCTGGTAGAACAAAATTCAGCTCATTTGTACTTTGTAGAAAAAAATACTTATACTCGACTAATATCATGCTATATCATAAAAACGGTCTTTCTAAATAATAATGTAATCCAATTATCAAAGTCAAACATGGACACATATGAATAGTTAAATGACAATGTTTATTCAAATGGGTAATATTTTATAAACAGTCCTTTGTGACAGAAGCATTGGGAATAGCCTTCTCCCAGTTCTCCGCTTTGTCTCCTACTTGTCCTCTTTCATTGGACAAATCTCTGAAGACTGATCACTTGGAATGCATCGTGGGGTCAGTCAGTGAGGAAGAATATTTATGTTCTCATTCTGATATTCTTGATGTTTTCCTTCCTCAATTAAAACCACCCCACATACTCTTACTAACTTTCCAAGCATCATACTAGGTTTTATGCTTGGTGATTTTTCTCCTCCATAACGATTCAAGCCAGGAAACCATATGGAGCTCTGTTTTACTCTAGAATACATGACATTGCCAGGAGTTGAAAGCAGCTCAATGGCATGTAGTAGTTAGTGGTGGTGGTGGTGGTGGTGGTGGTGGGTTCCCTGAGAAAATCCTTTACTCCTAAAATGTGTTTTTCATAATGTAATTTATTTTGTTAATCTTCATCTTCACCCAAGTTAATATGTGTCTACCTTCTAATTAGTGATTTACTCTCCCTTCTCCTTCCACTCCTGGAAACTATTGAAGAATATTTCTGTTAGTGTGAAAACTTTTCCTCAACTTTCTCTAAGAGTGGGCTCCTCACAAAAGGGTCACAAGGAAGAGTTAAGCCAGTCACCGATGAAACATACAACTTTCCTCCAGTTCTTTAATGCTTCCTCCCCCCTACTATCGTGACCCCAATTCTACCTTACAAATTAGGCTAGACCAGAGGATGTACACTGGTAC